CTTAAGATTGTTCTATTTCTCATCAAATTAGCCGCCTGACTCGACATTTAAAATTTCTTAAAGAAGAAATAAATCACAAACGCATTGACCAACAATTAACTAATCCAGTTCTTGTTTCTCACATCAATGATTTTAAATTAAAACTTGAATCAACTGTTTGCTCCACTTTACCTACTGCATTTTGGCATAGGAAAAAACATGTAGTTACCTTACCATATATTAAAAATTTTAATGAACGACATATCCCTACTAAATCTAGACCAATTCAAATGAATCATGAATTACTTGAAATGTGCAAAAAAGAAATTAATGACTTATTAAAAAATCGAATCATTAGCCCAAGCAAATCACCATGGTCTTGCTCTGCTTTTTATGTTAATAAAAATGCTGAATTAGAACGCGGTGTTCCTCGACTAGTTATCAATTATAAACCTTTAAATGATGTTTTAGAATGGATTCGGTACCCTATTCCTAATAAAAAAGATTTAATTAAACGACTTAGTCAAGCTGTTATTTTTAGTAAATTCGATTTAAAAAGTGGTTTTTGGCAAATACAAATTCATCCTAAAGATAGATATAAAACGGCATTCAACACACCCTTTGGTCAATATGAATGGAATGTCATGCCATTTGGTTTAAAAAATGCTCCTAGTGAATTTCAACATATCATGAATGACATATTCAACCCTTTTAGTCATTTTTCCATTGTTTACATTGACGATATATTAATTTTTTCAAAATCAATTAGTGAACACTGGAAACATTTAACTGCATTTTTTTACACAATTAAAAGCCATGGTCTTGTTATTTCTGCTCCTAAAATTAAATTATTTCAAACTAAAGTTCCGCTTTTTAGGATATGATATTCATCATAATACCATCCTACCCATTAGTCGATCAATTGAATTTGCATACAATTTCCTGATGAAATTCTTGATAAAACTCAATTGCAAAGGTTCTTAGGTTCCTCAATTACATTGCTGAATTTTATAAAGATCTTAGGAAAACTTGTCAACCCCTATTTGATAGGCTAAAGGATAATCCTCCCCATGGTCTTCTGTTCATACTTCTATTGTCCAACAAGTCAAACAATATGTCAAGTCCCTTCCTTGTCTGGTATTCCACTGAAAATTCATTCAAAATTATTCAAACTGATGCCTCCGATATTGGTTATGGTGGCATTCTACTTCAGCAACTTACTCCTCAATCGTCTGAACAAATTGTTCGCTATCATTCTGGTGTCTGGAATAAAGCACAATTCAATTATAGTACTATTAAAAAAGAAATTTTATCTACTGTTTTATGTATTCAAAAATTTCAAGATGATATTTTAAATCAAAAATTCTTACTTCGTGTTGATTTGTAAATCTGCTAAATATGTTTCTTGAAAAAGATGTTCAAAATCTTGCTAGTAAACAAATTTTTGCTCGTTGGCAAGCTATTTTAAGTATTTTTGATTTTGATATTACCTATATCCCTGGTTGTCAAAATTCCCTCCCTGATTTTCTTACCCGGGAATTTTTACAGGGGAGTAAGGGATGACTACACCATTTACTGCTTACCATAAATCCCGAATTACCTATTTCAAAACCCTCATTAAAACAGCTTACCCATCGCATTCACCGCCTCAAATCAGCCAGACCCACTACCAAAAGAGCCCAATACATCAAATTACCACCAAATCCTAGCTCGCCGCAATTTACTTGCTCACAACTACAATTGTTTACATCGTCATCAAGATTATCTTGTCTCCTTTCTGGTTGCTAATTACTGTTTATTATTTCACAGATGTCTCGTCCAAGCCTCCTTCCAAGGCTTTGGCCTCCTCTTCCACTAAACCAAATCAACTCATTGTCCCTCCTCCTTTGGAGTCAGTTACCCCCTCTTATTCACTTGACCTCATTAACCGTTACCAACTCTTGGTACTATTCAGCGCCTTGATTATTCATCTGCATTGGCCTCTGATCCTTTTAGCCAATCAGTCTCAGTTACTCCATTCCCAGCTAATCCTGTTAAATCTTCTCGGTCTGAATATACCAATTCACATGTTACCAACCTGTTCTATAAAGAACCCAGTCACCCAAGAAATCAAACCATCAATGACATTGCTAAATTCCATTTTGGCTCTGGATGCCATTTCACCCTTTCCCATCCAGAGAAAACCCTAGCTTATTACAAGGATATTTTAATCAACCATCATTCCATCTTAATCAAGCCAATTCAGGACCGCACCTATGCCTATAAGGTCCTCTACCATTCACTTTATATTCACAATATTGTTTCCATGGCTGAATGGGGAAATCCTAACCAGCTTCGTGATCTACCTGGTCATTCTATTCCATACAATTATCATGATTACGTTGATGCTTGGTTCAAGATTTTCTTGTACCAAAATGAAACTTTTAGTCATTCTTGGTTCATCTCATTTGATCAGAAATTCAAATCTGAGTTACCCACTTGGTTTCTGAGATGGTGGTCTCACTATGGCGCCATTTCAGCTATCCTTCCTGATGATCTCAAAAATATAATTCATTATTTCAACTCTGTTTACCCATTTTCTGCTCACCAGAAGCAATTTCCCTTATTACTCATATTCATTGCCAAATACAAGATTCCATGGATATTCAAATGGCATTATGGGATTGATGATAATATTATCATTCGCCAACACACAGTTAAATGGTGGGTTAAGTTCAATGTTCCCAGAATTCTTGAGATTGTTCAAGAAGAATTTCCACCTGATCAATATGCTCCAACTCCTGCTCTTGCTCAAGCCCAGCAGAACCCAACTGCTGCAATCACTCAAGGCAGCCAGCCCAGTCTTCCTCCAGTCAACCTTGGCAGCCCCTCATCTAGTGGTTCCAAGCCCAAATCAACAAAATCAAAGTCCAAAGCTGTTGCTGCTCAACCAGCCCAATCCAAGCCAAAAGCACAGTCCAAAGTCAAGGCAAAGCCCATTACACCTCCTGTTCAGCCCAAAGGTAAATCCAAAAATAAAGCCCAATCATCTAAAGCAGACATGATCCAGTTAGCCCATCAACTGTTGAATCAAGCTAAAGCTCAATCCACCGATTCAGACAGTTCAGACGGGTCAGCCCAGATCCATTCCTCTGAAGAATCAACCAATCAGTATTCAGGACCCGAATTTCAAGATGCTCAGGATCCATTTGTTTAAATCAACCTTGGATTCCATATAGATACAAATTAGCTTCAATCAATACTCTTTTGAGAAAAGCTGCCAATTTGTATTTATATTGATTCCATAATTCACCGAAAGTGATGAATAGTAAAAGTTACTGTTCACTTTTACTGTTCACTATTCACTTAGCCGACTTTTGTTGAAAGCTGTTCAAATATTCAATGAATCCACCGAAAGCAACCGACAGCATCTGCTTTTCACATGCTCGGCCAGCTGCTTTCAGAAATCACATGTTTACTGTTTTGCTTTTTATTTTCTTTAAATTGTAATCAATTGTAAGCTCTCAGACATTCTTCAATTTTTCTTCTCCCTCATTGTTGTAAGAAAACCAGAGTGTTTTGAGAGCCTTACCAGTTTCCCCGTTGTACTCAATTAAAGATCCTTGCAGTTCTTCGAATTGTAAGTTATTTTCCTTTAATAAAATGTTTTTTAAAATATAATTTATTATTTATTGTGCTAATTCTTATTTTGACATGTATGCTGCTTCCGCCTCTTTCAGATCTATATCAGATCTAAGTAGATCTATACAGATTTGGTTAGACATCCGTCTTTCCCCTTCGATCTCTTTTTTTTTTTCTCTCTCTGCTATACACTTCTGTTTTTCTGTTCTAATGGAGAAAATTTTCGAATTCTGAACAAGCAGTTTTCGAGTTTTAGTTACAGGCGGTGAAAACTGTAAAATTTTGCAGTTTCAAATTTTTTTTTTGGTGCTGGAATGAATCATGGTTTAAAACTGTAAAATTTTGCAGTTTTATAACATTCTTTAGAACTGTAAAATTTTACAGTTTCATAACATGTTTTTTAATTTTTTTTTTCCGGCAATATTCTAGACATTCCGGTGAGTCTCCGGCGACCGTTAAACGGAAGTCCGACGGTAGTAAGATGTGGACAGTGTCTATAAATTAAAAAAAAAAAAAAGGATTTTTTGGTAACAATTAAAAATATGTTGGACTAATTGGTGCAAGTATTTTGTTTTGGGATTAATTGAATTTCGAACTTGTTACATGGGACTTATCAGTAAGTTCCCCAAATTATAATGTGTTTGGATAACAAAATATATGTTGGGTTAAATGAATGGTATTGAGATTTGAAAGTTCATTTAAAATCAAAATTGGGATGACACATGGTTTTGTTTTGGAAGAGGATTGGCTAAAATAGTTCATGAAAACATAAAATAGATTAAAATAGGCAAGTATTTTGTTTTAGGATTAATTGGATTTTGAACTTGTTACATGGGACTTATCAGTAAGTTCCCCTTTTATTTTTGTCTTTTGGCACATGTTTTTGGGTGGGTTGGAGTAGGTAAAAAAATTGGGCTTATGGTTTTCTGTTACCATATGATTTGGGCTTAAAAAATTTTTTGGCTAGAAAAAATTGTTCGTCTGTCAACACATAGGCTTATAAGTGTTGGGGGATTCGGGATCCATGAACATGCACATACCATTATGGCCAACACATAATTGTTTAAAATTCCTACATACTTAAAAGTGTAAGTTTTAAAGTGGTGAGTCTATTCAATATATCTTACGATCTACTTTTTATTTTTTTATTTTAATGTTTTTAATTTTTATCTGATAACCTACCTTTACTCATGCCCCAATAGGGGCATTTTTCAACATTTTCCCCCATCAAATCAAATGGCGCTTTAATTTTTTTTTTCCCAACGAGGTTCTTAGAATAGATGGATCAGGCCTTCGAACCCAAAAAAAAAAAAAAAAAAAAATTGAGAAAAAAAAAAAAAAAATTGAGAAGAAGAAAATTTAACTTAATCAGAAGGCCACACAATGTAGAGGGAGAGATGTGAGTTTGTTTGCAGCCCCTAAATTTTGAAAAAGAAGACTAGGTTTATCAACCACAATTATCATTTACAACAATGTTGGAGAATTACTTAATTTTCTGCATACATTCTTACACATTCTCATATGGATATAAAATCTACTTGAGTCCCACACTTAAATAAAAGAGCGTAAAAAATCAAATGCCCATATCTTTCACTCAATCACTTGTGGTTCCCAAGATGTTCAACTCCCTCCCTTATATGTTGGCTTAGTAGAGCCATCATTTGTCCCCTATTTTATGAACAATTAGTTGGTCCTTAGGGGCATTGACTTGGCAATGCTACAAAACAATTATGATTATTGATATGTGCAGGTTCTACGTAAGATCTATGTAGAATCCACACAAATCAATTATCAAGATTGTTACGTGACATTGTCACACGGGATATGAAATAATTTTTCCTATTTTACTTAGAGCTTCACCGATCTGTTAAAAATCCAGCTAAAAGGTATAACAGGTGTTTTCTTGGCTCTCAATTGAGCTCTCTCCTCTAGCCTTCGAATTTTTGGACCTAACCCACAAACATAATCCTGAGCCTTTCGTCCCTCGCCGGAGAGTGTACTAAGCTTCTCTACATGCCATTTGTCCAACAAAAACTCCAGTATGTTAGCATAGTCCGTCGCAGTGTACACACCGAGCCGCTGAGCAACCGTTGAGAAGTGCACGAATAAATCTTCGTCATGACCATCATACATCCAGTGAGCTGGCATAGCAATTTTCTTCTGCATCATGTTGGCAAATGCAATGACAGCTGCGTCAGGATCGATCTGAAACAAGTTCTCCATTATCTTGGTGTAAGCAATTTCATGACGCTTCTCATCAGAGGCTATTGTACCACATATTTGTGCTAAGTTGCTGTCACCATAATGCTTGGCAAGCCTGGCTGTGTTGCCATGAGAAATAAATGTTGCCCTCTCTTGAAATGATGTGTAAATGAGTCCTAGGTAGGGATTGCTTTCCGTTTGAATATCCTATATATGAAAAGATGAAGACCAACAAAATTTACAAGCACAAGTAATATGGACCAAAATAAGTCATAGCAGTTAAACTGCATCAGGTGAATATGAGTAATGCTAGAAAAAAGACCAACCAAAAAAAAAAAAAATTCAATAAAAGCAATGTATAATTCATATTCATTCTAATTGCGGACCCACTATACATTGAAAAGTACCAAAAAAAAAAAAAAAATGAATTTTATATAAAAACTTAAGATCAATTTGAAATTTTTGGGAAAAAAATCTTGTTTCATGTATTACTTTGCAGCAATGTTAGGTTGACATAAATAAAAATTAAAAATTGTACAAAAAGTATGTGATGTGACTGAGATTTATTATAAGCATAACTCAAATTACGTTTTAGAAATAAATTTTAACCATATAATACATATTTTGTAATTTTATTTCTGTACGCTTATTATATGACTATAACTCTCTTACTATATTGAATAAGACCCATTAAAAAGTAACAAAATTGTGACAAGATGTGCAAGGAACGAGAAAAGCTAGGTGAATTTTACTCCAAAATTTAATGTATGATTCAGGTTAATTTGAATAGTATGATCTACATTTAAAACTAATCTGAATCACACGGTAAATTTTCTCAACAAATTTTTTAGTAAACTTTCTTGGTGTGTATAGCTTGGCTAGTAAGGAACTTACCATTCCGGACCCAATCAGGTACTGCACAGTCTTCTCAATTTGTTTCATGTCAACACGGCCAGAAAGATAGAGGTACTTGTTGAGAAGATCACCATGCCTGTTCTCTTCAGCACTCCATCCCCTTACCCAAACAGCCCAAGGACTGAGGCTTGACCCTGTTTCATCCCCAATTCCATCATACCCATTAAGCATGCTCTGGTAAGTTGGAAGAGCTTCTTCTGTGATCATGTCTCCGACCAACACAACAAAGTAATCGTCTGGAAGCTCCATTGCTCGCTCTCTCAGTTCCACCACTTGATCCAAGAATCCATCGGATGACGGGTCTGGAAGAAAGTGTTGTGGTTGCCAGCATTTCTCCACTGGTTTTAGGTGAACCAAGACATTGGTTTTAGCCCAGTCTTCTAAGGATTTGAACAACTCTTTCTTTTCGGGTGGCATGAAATGAGTTACTAGAGAACGTGGCTTGTGAGCAAGGCTAAGAGGCTTGTTCAAATTACCAGCAGGCACCCTAAAAAAAAAATTATTTGATTATTGACACAAATGGGGTAGAGATGCAAAGATATATAATGTAAGATATACAATTTAACATAAAAGAGATGACAACAACATTTTTTCATTCATACGAATAACGAATTATTGTTAAAAAATAAAACTTTAAGAAAATCTAATGTAATTATGCTAAACTTGTGAGGCTTATTCTATTTTCTCCAAATTTTAAGGAAGGTCAGTGTAATTTATCCCAATTAATTTTTTTAGGAAGGGGCTTCTCTCCTATTCACCACTGGCCCCGTTCTGTTGATTTCATTTTATTTGATTATGCATGTAGATCATCTATGAAAAAAAATTTAAACCGATCTGATTTTTTTTTTATACAAAGATAACATTAGTATGTTAATAGTTATATTTTAACACAACCCAATGTCTCTTCATAACTTGACCAAAATCTCATCCTAAGACCTAAGTGCCCACTTTATAACTATTTGAGTTACTACTTGGATCAAATTGATAGGATAATCATAGCCGCATATTTTGATGACAATCAACATAATTTTAAAAAGAGAACTTTTTTTTTTTCCAAACAAATATAATAAAATTATGAGTTATGATTATTTGATTAATTTAATTTTTTTAATACAAATAATCTACATACATAATCAAACAAAATGAATGATTCAAATTATTAAAACAAACCGATAATAAATCCCAAAAGCCCGACCACAAACAAATTGCATCTAGCATGATGTCAACAAATTGGGTTAATTTTACAGTGTTAATGTTATACTAAACGAATTTTTGTGTATTTTTTTTTTTTATAACAAGCAATTTTAAATATTATTAAAGAATAAATTACAAACACACCCCCTAAAGTTTACTTAAATTACACATTATCCCCTATAGTTCTAGAAATTACATTATGCTTCTTAAAGTTTCTAATTTTATAACAAATAGGTCATTTTATTAATAAATCATCAAATTAATTAACAGTTTTTAATAATGTTAAAATTTTATTTCAATTAATAATTCAGATAATTTTATAATTGTATAGGTGAACAATTAGAAATTTCACTTTTTCAATTAATTCTGTTAAATAAAATTTTTTAACAGGGAGATATTTGTAATTTTTTAAACCACAGGAATAATTCGTATTTTAAGCAAATCTTATAAAGTGTATTTGTAATTTATCCATAACTAAATGAGTCGTGTTGGGTAGCTCGAAATGAGCTACCCCGAATCCCCTTAATTTTTTTTTTCTTTTTTTTCAGAAGCAGAGAAGGAGGAGAGGAGGAGGAAGGAGGGAGGTGGAGGAAGGAGGGGACTGGACGGGGCCTTTCAGAAGCAGAGAAGGAGAAGATGAAGAGGAAGGAGGGAGGAGGAGGAGGAAGGAGGGGACTGCGACGGCGGGAAAAAAAAAAAAAAAAAATTCCCAAAACGACGTCGTTTTGGAGATTAGGGGGATTAGGAGGGGCCAAATTCGAGCTCTCAAACATTATTCTAACTAACTAAATATAGAAAAGGAATATTTATCTATCTATCTATCTATACTATTATAAAGTGAACACCTCTTATGGTGTCCTGAAACTTTACTCTCTTCATGTCATGTGGCAGTATTTTTTATTTTTAAAAAAAAAGTTAAACAAAGAGATGGGCAAGGCTTGAACCCATGACCATGGGTTTAAGTACGAAGACTCATACCACTTAAGCTAAGTACACATTATAATATTAATTTTATTATTATTATTTTTTATTCCTACTTATTTAAATTGCAAACACATCGTGTGTGGCACCTATTAGTTCTAAGATAAGGGCGCACAATACTTGTTGATATCCACTCTTGTATGATCAGTTCGATGCCAGGAAATTACGCTGGTGCACAAATGTAGGACCAACCGCTCTAATTTTTCAATAATGTTGAGGGGGGGGATCTTAAATCAATAATGTTAGAGATTAAAAATATGTAGACAAAAAAAATATATATTAAAAGAAAAGTAATACGTGATTCAAATTGGAGGTCTTACAATGAATTTAGACTATAACTGTTTCTTGATATTTTTGTGTGTTTTGGTGTAACTATTAAAACATATTATAAATTGTAACTTAAATAAGAATTTATTAATATGTTTGGTGTGGCTGCTAAATTATAGGCTTAAGTTGGTCAAATAGTATTTGGTAAAAGTTGTAAAATAACCTCTTGATGTGTAAATGTCAATTTTACCCTTATTAATTGTAAATTGAATTAACCTTTGTTATTTGTAAATTGAATTAACTTTTATTTTCTGTTATTTACTACTAGTCCACGTTCCTCTTAAAAAAAATTAATATACAGTCTATTTGGGTCTTTTTCTATTTTCACCAAACAATAAAAATAAAAATAAAATCTAAAGGTATAATCATAAATTAACATGCCTACAGAAGAAACTGGTATATCAAAAGCCGGAGGTGAACAATTTCTCAGAATTAATTTTTTTTGGGTTAAAATAAGTTGCTAGAATCAGGAACTGTTTGAAATAAATTTAACCAAATAATCCAAAATAATTTTTCCAAAACTAGAATTTATAAGTTGGCTAAAAAAAGCCACACCAAACACTCCATTATTGGATTTCTCCTTGTTAATAACTCTATTTCTCTCCTTCTTTCATTAATTTTATGGAGTTTGTCTTCATTAATCTTCCGAATAATTTTGCAATAGTTTGAATGAGAGAGTGATAAACCACAAAACACAATCAAAAAACAAAATAAAAAATTTACCAAATTTATATCTTAATTAAATTTTGAACTTCCACATATTAGAGGGCACAGAAGATAATATTGATAATATTAGTAGTAACTAACAACAAACTCACTTGGAGGTGGTGGACATGGTGGAAGACATGGAAACCTTGTAGTATAAAAGATGGGATTTTGGGGAGGGAACAGAGGAAGGTAATTTCAGAGAGTGAAAATCTAGATGAGAACAACTAAAAACCAAAGACATTTTTCTCTATTTGCTTTGCAGTATACTAACCCTTTCTTCACTGAAATGAGAATTTGAGTAAATGAGAAGGGATATGGGGTAATGAATGGAAAGGAAGTACAAGGGCCTGATTTATAGATATACACAAGTGTATGTGACATCATGGTTGCGAGTTGCCAACAGCTGCAGAAAAATAATTTTTTTTTAAATAAGGTTAGAGAAATTGGAATTAATGCGGATGATGTAGAGATACAAATATAAATAATGTAAAATATAAAATTTAGTATAAAAGATATGATATGACTAACAAATTATTGATAAAAATTTTAAATTAAAATTTCAAAAAAATTTAAACTAATTATGCCAAACTTATAGGCTTACTCTATTTTTTTTCAAATTTTAACGAAGGTCCATGTAATTTTTCCTAATTTATTTTTTTGGTAGGAAGAAGCTTGTCTCTCATCCACAACTGGCCCACTCCAATGATCATTTTGTTTGACCATGCATATATATACATAGGATTTATGAAAACAAATTTAAATTGATCTGGTAATTATAGCCACATATTTTAATGACAATTAAGATAAATTTTAAGAATAATTTTTTTTTCTTCCAAACAAATATGATAAAATAATGAGTTATGATTATGTGATCAATTTAATTTTTTTTTATGAATAATCTGCATATATAATTAAACAAAATAAATAATTTAAATTATTAAAATAATACCCTGATGAATCCCACAAAACCAAACCAACCACAAACCCATCCTTTATTTTTATGTGCAAATTCCATCTAGAATGATGTCAAAGTCACCCAATTGGGTTAATTTTACAACGTTAATGTTATACCTAAACGAATTTTTGAGTATTTTTTATGTAACAAGTAATTTTGAATATTTCGTTTGGTTTTAGGTTTTTAGCTAAAAAAATATAAAAAAAATAAAATTGATTATATAAGTCAATAAGATAAAATATTACATCTAAACTATAATCATTATATTTTTTTCTCTTACAAAAATTAAAAAATCCAAACCAAACGCGACTAAAAAAGTCTTAACACAAAAAAATTAGTTAAAAAAGTTAGGAAAATGTCTCGTAGTTCAAATTTTGTGGCTCAAAAATGGCTCAAATGACCAAAATGACGTCGTTTTGGCCATTTTTATGTTGTTCTGTACTCAAAACGACGTCGTTTTGACCATTTGAACCACTTTTGAACCACAAAATTTGAGTTACGTAGCATTGTCGAAAAAGTTAATGCCAAACAAAAACTAGATATAGGAAAAAAAGAAGAAGAGAATATTCTGAGATAAGGGCACACAATATACATGCTACTAGAAAAGAAAATCCACTCTTGGCCGATGGCCATCTCTCTTAGACACAAATTAAAGGATGTTTGATAATATGATTTAATATTTAAAATTGAATTGAGTAAGTGATAATCAATTAAGCTTTATAATTGATATCATCTAAAAATTTAAGTATCTCTTAAAATGTAAGTTAAAAAATTAAAAAAAAATTTAAATCATATAAAACTTACTTAATTCTGACTAAATTTATAAATATTAAACATAAATATTGATATACACTATTACAAACTCACTGCTACCACCGCTACCACCACCATCATGCCACCGCCACCACTACCATTATGCCACCGCCATCGCTACCACTACTACCACCACAACCACAGCCATCATATCACCACCATTACTACCACCACCACCACCACCACGACTAGCACTATCACTACTACCACTGCCACCACCATGCTACCGCTACCGCTACTGCCGCCGCCATCACGTCGTTACCACCACTACTACCATCACTTTCATCACCATTGTCATTATTACCATGAATATCACCATCATTTTACTATTACTATCATCGCTACCACCACTACGCCACCACCACCACCACTATCACCATCACCATCATCACAATATAAAAATTAAAATATACAATTTAAAAAAAATAAATTTCAAATTTTATCTTACACATATTAAAGGGAAAATTATAAAAATAGTCTATGTACTTTACCTGATGTGTCAATTTGGTCTCTATAGTTTTAATTTGCTCGATTTTGCCTCTTAATTAAACGGATTGTGTCATTTTAGTCCAATAAATAACGGATGTTAAGTTAATTTAACGAAAAGTCAAACAATGTGTCAGTTTGGTCATTGTATTTTTCACAATGTATCAATTTAGTCTCTGTCAAAATCGAGAAAATTGAAACTACAGGAACCAAATTGACACATCGTGTAAAATATAGGAATCAAATTGACACATTATTTGACTTTCTGTTAAATTAATTTAACAACAGTTATTTATTGGACTAAAATAACACAATCCGTTAAATTAAGGAGCAAAATCGAGCAAATTGAAACTATAGAGACCAAATTGATACATCGTGTAAAATACAGGGACTATTTGCATAATTTATCCCATATTAAACAACTTATTTTAATTCAATACTTAAATTTTTATCAAATAGCTTATCAACTTAAAAAATTCAGCATTTAGTTTTTAATACTTAATTTTCAGTGTTCAGTTTTCAGCTTTATCAGACACCACCTAATTTTTCAATAATGTTAAATCATAAATCAATAATGTTAGAGATAAAAAATATTTAGACACAAACTAAATTTTCATCTATATGCTTTGATACTACTTTTTATTTACATATTTATTGTAACGCCCTCAAAATAATGACATTAAACCCATCAAATAAGACATTCATTGATATATGAAATAACCACATTCTTCTATTCATCAGAGTTTCATTACAAAAATATTACATGTTAACAACAAAAGCAAAATGCCCTACAGGCTTACAGCTTTCCAAGTTAACACTTGGTTACAACAAAAGAGTGCTAACTCATCTACACATTAAGCCCTCGGCTTGAATATACATGTAATACATCAAAATATAAAACGACAAAAGTATGTCCGCCTCTAGCCTCCCAAGCTATGTCCTTGGAGGTGGCATGCTACCTGTACCTGAAAATGATATTCCCATATAGGGTGAGCCACAGCCCAGTAGAAATACACTAAACCAACCATGAACAATGACTAAAAGATTAGCAACTGATAGACGGTCAACACTGACACTTCCATTTACATCTCCCTACGTTACCATGACAGCCAAGTCTATATTACAATTCACTTTTCATTTTTGTTCAACTTTGAGTTTGAAAACAAGGCTCAGTACTCTGGCCAGAACGTTTGATGAGATTATAGTTCATCACTAGAACACTTTCGAAATCCAAGGTGGATACACATTATGGTGTTGTACCAATAACACATAAACTACTCCCATACTTCACAAACAATGATGACTTACATTTGAATGCTATATCAAATCAAACAAACTTTTCAATAGATAAGCATATGAGCTATATCACTACTACAACAGATAAACATATGAGCTGTATCAACACTTCAACCGATAAGCATATGAGCTGTATCAACACTTCAATAGATAAGCATAAAACACCCCGCTCGAGCGTCACTCACAGACTCCCGCTCGAGCGACCAAACTCCAGCTCGAGCGCCGGATACACACTCCCAGGACTTTTACAGAACCAGGTCTCCGCTCGAGCTTCCAACTCCCTGCTCGAGCGGCACTCACACAACCCCGCTCGAGCGGCCAATACCATGTTCGAGCGTCCAACACTGCACAGAAAATACTGGATGGGTGCAATTCCCGCTCGAGCGCCAAAACCCCCGCTCGAGTGGACAGGTCAAAATCTAGGCAACTAGTTTTGGTTTCTAAACTCAACCAACCTGTAACAAACCTACCCAACACATCCTATAACTCAAATACGAAGTAAAAAGGATGTAAACAAGATAATAATCAACTACCAACATCCACGGACACATGTCCGGATCACTGTACAATATGGGTAAATCCGGGATCGCTATATTTATCCACAAAAATTAATTTAATTTTTTTTTAATACTCTTCAAATGTGGTTATATTATAAGTGTCTTGTTAAAACTGTTATCATACCAGCTAGCCTGTTGAAATAAGTAAAATGACATAAAACTAACTATAATAGTTAACCAACCTCTTTTAAAGAGTTCTTAGAAATGCTCTTACAATGAATTTAGACCATAATTTTTTTTTAATATTTTTGTGTGTTAATATTATTGGATTTCCAGTCTTTAATAATTATATTTGTCCGTTTAATTATCATTATTATTATTTTTTGAGAAATGCTGCGGTGTGCAATGCATGTCGTTTGTAATGTTACCACAAATTTGTATGTTTTCTCAAATTTAATAGACTTATCCAAATTTATGTTCAATTTACACATTTTATGAGATTATTTATATAAATTTATGAAAACTTACTTAATTTTATGATAAAATTATATGTACTGTGTACTGCACACGGAAAAATTTCCTTTATTTTTTTGGACAAAAGAGCCACTAGGTCTTTCATTCGTCAATCATTGCATTCTTCTCATCCTTTGATTTTTCTTTGTGTCAAACTGTCTCTGTTTTCCCTTGCGTCAAGTTATATCTAATATTATATATATCTATATTGTTGGAGGGAATAAACTCACCCACAATGAAAGCAAAATATGTAGATGAAAGAGCCAAAGTAAAAACAACAAAAAAAAATTAACACAAAAATATAGGTGATTCAATAAATTCCCTAACATTTTTTTATTTTATTTTATTTTATTTTATTTTATTTTTTTTTCAGTCTCTCATTGTGCTGCCATCCTTGCACAAAACTCAAAAATTTAGTCAGAATTTAAATCTTAGAGAAATTACAAATCAGGAGGACAATAGAAAAATTGTTACACCATAAATAAAATTTTTGTAGTGTAAACAAAAATGGTTTGCACCATGAATATAGGAAAATGTAATGAACCCCCAAATAATCTATTAAATTTTCTATTAAACCTCTCACATAGTTATAAGACTTACACAAATCTACATGTGTGTGGATCCCACACCTTAATAAAAAAAATTTAATAGATTATTTAAAATTCCTAACTTAACTCCTTGCAATTTCTTCTTAAATATAAGTGTGTTGTGAGGTTAGCAACACTGATGAGAGTGAGAAAAATAGTGAGA